TTGGACCTGCTGTCAGTCAGAACATCCTGTGTTCTCTGTCCTGACGGTGGGGGCGGAGCCCTTCTCACAGGGCCCACGTTTTACTTTGAGGGGACCTCTTTTCGTACACAAATTTGAACAGTTTTACGTCTAATGTTTCGTTTCATGGTACACTTTGAGTGCATCTGATCTAGTTGAAGAGAATATCCTGGGGGTGGGGGATGCTGAGGATTCAGAGGCTCAGCCTTGAGGGGAGGGCAGGAGTGCCTGTATGTGGTCTTTCAGAGGCCCAGGAGACTTCTAAATTGTGTGTGTAAAATTATGGGCACAAATGGAATTTTCTGGGGAGGGAACTGTGGTTCTAAGGGGTCTGTGGTCCGGAAAAGGCAGAGAGCCACAGCTCTGGGTTTAACGGGGTCTCCATAATGCGGGAGATAGGACCTGACTCGGTAGAGGGCAGAGGCCCTGGGTTCTTGCCCCCTCCCCACCCACCCCCAGGGTAGCCACGAATCAGGCTGAGGTGGCGACAGAGATGCCCAGACCTAGTGCCTTCCTGGAGGGTCCCCTGCCTGCCACGAGGGTGGCCCTGACTCATCCTGAGAATGGAGTCCGGGGCCTTCCCGGGATCACAGAACCCTGTGGTCAGAGCCGAGAGGCCCCCCAAGTCCCTGGATCTGTGGAACAGCCGAGGCACCGAGAGGCCAGGGGGCGAGTCCAAGGGCACCCGACCAGAGAAAGGCAGAGGCCGTTCCTGCCTGTGACATTCAGTTGTGTTCCTCCCCCGCCTGGGCAGAATGAGACGAGGCGGGAGAGGCCCTCGAGGCGGGGCAGGGCTGCTTGTTGCTGCTTGCCTCAGTCTGCGGCTGAGGAAGAGGGGGTGCACGGAGTGGAGGCCGCAGCCCGGGCGGGCGTGACGTCATCACACCTCACAGCGTCCCGCAGCATCACCTCCCGCCTGCCTTCTGCATCCCCAGGCCAGGCTGCAGCCGGCAGCCCGGGAATTTTGAACACAGCGGAGACGCAGGCCTAGGAGGCCGGA